TGCACAGGGGAGCTCTGCAAAGGGGCAACGGCGGGGCAGATGGCGTTTCTGATGGCCGGATTTGGGCTGATGGTGGTCGGAGCTGGGGGAATCCGGCCGTGTAATTTGGCGTTTGGGGCGGACCAATTCAATCCCATACGGAGGCTGGGAAGAAAGGGATCAATAGTTTCTTCAATTGGTATGTTTTCACCTACACGTTTGCGATGATGGTGTCATTGACAGTGATTGTGTATGTCCAAACGAGTGTGAGCTGGGCTCTGGGGTTGGGAATTCCTGCGCTTCTTATGCTCATTGCTTGTCTGCTCTTCTTCGTGGGCTCTAAAATTTACGTGAAAGTGAAAGCCACTGGCAGCCCAATGACCAGCGTCGCCCAAGTTTTTGTTGTTGCAATCAAGAAACGCAAACTCAAGCAACCAGACCAACCATGGGTTTCCCTCTTTAACTACATTCCTCCTGGCTCCATTAACTCCAAACTTTCCTATTCAGATCAGTTCAGGTAACCCATGAAACTCTTTTCTCTTATTCTCAAAACTATCACTAAACCCAAAAATTTAAACGGATGGATTAACTCCAAAGTGATTATTAGAGAAAATGAGAAAAGGTTACTACCATGTTTAAATACCACTATGCAAACAATATCCTAACAGAAGAAGATTCGTATCAAGACAACATCTCCATTGGTACGGAAGATTCGTATCAAAGACAATATCTCCATCAGTACTAAAGCTTTTTAAAGTGAAGAGACAAGGAGAGATTATCGTTATAACAAAAGCTTTCAAAAGGTTATGATATATTGAAGTACAAATTTGGTTTTTGAACTTTAAAATGTGTCTAATAGGTTCTTCGAATTTCGAATTTTGAATTTTGTATTTAGGAGATACCCATGTTCTAAAAATGTCTCATAAACCCATGTCCCTGTTCTCATACAGATTTCTGAACAAAGCAGCAATCATAACAGCAGAGGACAGAATTAAGGAGGATGGATCAGCAGCAGAGCCATGGAAACTCTGCAGCGTGCAGCAAGTGGAAGAAGTAAAATGTGTAGTGAGAGTGATACCAATATGGGTAACAGGAGTTCTATACTTCACGGCTCAATCCCAACAACAAACATACGCAGTATTTCAAGCCCTTCAATCAAACAGACGCCTGGGGAGCTTCACAATCCCGGCCGCCTCCTACACCGTCTTCTCAATGCTAAGCCTCAGCATCTGGCTGCCCATCTACGACCGATTCCTGGTCCCTCTCCTCCACAAACTGACCGCAAAAGAAAGCGGCATCACCATTCTGCAGAGGCAGGGGATCGGCATTTTCCTCGCGGCGCTCACAGCGCTCGTGTCGGCGCTGGTCGAGGCGCGCCGCAGAGTGGTGGCGCTCACGAGGCCGACCCTAGGCTTCGAGCCGCGGAAGGGCGCGATTTCGGCCTTGTCCGCGTCGTGGCTGATTCCTCAGCTGACGCTGGCCGGGCTGGCTGATGGGTTCGGGGCGGTGAGCCAATTGGAATTCTATTACAAGCAATTTCCGGAGAACATGAGGAGCATTGGAGGGTCGATGTTCTTCTGCGCCATTGCCGGAGGCAGCTATTTGAGTGGGCTTTTGATTACGGTGGTTCATCGGATGAGCACCAGATCTGGGTCTGGAGATTGGCTGCCGGAGGATCTCAACAAGGGCAGATTGGACTACTTCTATTACTTCATTACCGGGATTGAGTTCGTCAATTTGGGTTACTTTTTGGTTTGTGCTAATTGGTACAAGTATAAAGGGGCACCTCAAAATCCCTCTGAAATTCACTTGATTTCAAAACAACAAGAGAAAATGAGTGTTTAGATACTGGAAAATTTGTTGCTACAATAAGTCCCAAGAGAAGCATCCTTAATACTTATTATAGTGTAGATTTTGAATTTGGGATTTCATGGAAATTTTAAAATCTACCTTCTTTTTTTTTCTTTTGGCTTCAAGTTCTTGTAAAGAACAAAATTTGAATGTATTGGAGGCATGAGAGTGGAAGGCCAATTGTTCCAAAACGAGGTTCTGTGAAGGGCCTTCCTTATATGAATTTGGTTCACACAAAAATAACAGCAATAGAAATATTACAAAGAGGAGAATCTGGAGTTTTGTGTTTGGTTTAATGCTATCAATTTGAAGCTTTGGAACCACAAATTTTGATGGGAAAATCTAACCACTGTTATTTGACCTATGGATGGATAGAGTGAACACTTGCAAAACTTGCTTATAACTGCAGTTTTAAATATCAATAAAATTTTGGTATCTAACGGATATTTCAAGAAAAATTAAAAATTTCATAAAGATTCTTTAAATTAATAGCTAAGCATTTAACCAATTTTGTCGATTCTGTACGATATAATAGAAATATTGATTCTTCTCTTCTTCTTATGTCAATGTCGTATTTTATGAAATATGAATATGCATGGTTATAACTAGGAAGGGTTTATCTAGGAATTTTTAAAATGTGTATTTTAATTCTTAGATTTTTTTTATTAAAAAAGTAATTGCTTTGATTTCATCTAACTTTCGTAATATAAATTTTTACCCCTTGAACTTATTGTTAAAAAAAGGATAATAAATTTTTGTTATTATTCCGTCATCCCATCTCGATTTGCATATATGCCTCTATACATGCCCACATTAGCACGTTGGTCGTTAGTTGAACCAAATTAAGAAAATAGAATTCGTATTTTCATGGGTTGTCTTTTTCAGTTTTTCTTGTAATGTAATGACATGTATTCCATGCTGAATATTCGTTAGCTATATATGTCTTTTGTTTTCTACCTGAAGAATTTATTCAACCTTTTTTTCCATTGTGTCATCAACTCAATTCAAACTTAAAATGTTCATCACGTAGCTATCCAAAGCAATTTAAGTCAGATGATTTGGTTAAATTTCTCAATCTTTCACAATTGAAATAGAAATGGTGTCATTGTCATTCTCAAATCAAGTTCCATGTTCTGCATTTAAAATTAAGTTACATGTTTTGCATTTAAAATTACTTCTATTATGAAAAAACTCTGAATATTACGATGAACTTAGTTTTTTCCTCTATTTAGGAAAAGAAGGTTTGTCGGTATACTTCATATAAAATCCTGATTTAATCTTTCTATTTTACAGATTTTGTTGAATCCCTTTTGTTCTAGAAAAGTGCATTAACAATTTCAATCTTATTATCCTTGCCACCTCAAAATTAGTCGTTCGGGTCCTGCAAATCAAAATAATATCACCTATTTTCGAAGCATCATCAATCAATTTGCTATGGAGATGAAAATTTGAACTTCTATGGCAAGTTATAAACCACCTTTCCATTGCATCAAATTTGTGGTGCTAGGTAAGCATTAAATTGATGAATTAGTCAATTAACTTTTACCGATGATCAAGGTCCTAAATTATGGAATAGTATTCATAAAAAATTGTCATCGAGAAGAGTTTGATGAAGATGATAAGCTCACCTGAGTAACTCATCCTTAATTTCAGTTGGCCTTTTTCTGATCTCACCTTCCCTTATTCTTCAACAATTATATGGCCCTTCCCCACTCTCTCGAAGATCATTCATTTTTTTCCTCTAATTTTTATTCTGAATCAATTAAAAGAGTAAACAAATAAAAACAAAATTCCAACTGTCATTTCGGGTAATTATATAGTTTAGTTCTTGATATTTAGCTTGGTCTCTAACCTTTAAAATGTTTGGATCTCATAGTGCAAAATAAGCTATTAATGACCTGTGCTTGGAATAAATTTAAAGCCACAAAAGGGAGGAGGAGGAATATTTAAAAAGTTGTATATTCTACTTTTGGGGACGAGTACCAAATAGAATACTTAAAAATCTTTGTTTTCTTTGCAGAAGCAAAACTAACACAATCGCTGCCATTAATTTACAGTGAGAGTTACCAAACAGAGACTTTTGTCAAACAGTGTAAGCTTGCTGAATCGTGTCGATGTCAAGTCCTTTCAGCCTCACCACTGATTCAACATGGCCTTTCAGAGTGTGTAGTTCCCTCAACCTGAAACAAATACGCCAACAACCAAAACTCAGCCCTTCTATTTTAAATCTCAAACAATTTCTTCTTCACATTCTGATTCAGTTCATACCTTGCAATTTCAGCTCTCCTTTTGGCTTCTTCGGCCATCTGATTGAGCTCGGTGAAGTGAGTTCGGTCATGGAACATTTTGGCATCCGGCGCTTGCAGTCCATGTAATGTTCTTTGTGCATGAGCCCATTGTAGCTCCCGCTGTTCCTTCCCGAAGTCCTTTTGCCTCGTAAACGCAATCTACATCCAGTGAAACGACTCGATCACAACATAATTAATAAGAAATCATCAGTAAGTAGCTCGGTGGAGGGAGCGAAGTAGAAGTACCCTTTGTTCAATAACAAGATCCCAAGCCCTCCCACTCAAAGCATATCGTGTAAAGAACTTTATGAGATCTAGTGGGATGTAAAAGATGATGTTGTATAGCCAAATAACACCGGCCCAACCCCATCCAATTCCTTCAATGGCAGCAAACTTCCAATTTGCATAAACCGCAATTAAAGTAGCAATCTGTTGATCAGAAAGAAAAACCAGTTTCAGTACAAATCAGAAGCTTGGCATAGAACAGTATGAAAAGCTGTACTGAAGTTTAATGGTTGGTATAGTCCACTTACCAGCTGTGCAACCAGGAAAGCCACGACCAGTAATAACCCAGGACGTTCCACGTACGACCAACTTCGCGAGCGTGTAACAAATATGAGAGCCTGACTAATAGTGCTTACTTGCAAATACACTGCTGAGGCAAGTTTCCTAATGTCATCGTGAGCAGTTTTCTCGAGAGTTGCTACCCCAAAAACTCGCTGAAAAAATGAGCCCGAAAGCGAAGGTCACAAGTAGTTATAAAAATAACTAACAAGATAGCAACATTGGTTGCCTGTCAAGGCAAAAAAGTTCATAGAGTTCTAATGCGCATCTTCCAATGAATAAGATGCAGCTATCTTACTGGAAAGAAGTCTGTTTTATAGGCTACCCAAAAGAAGATAACAGTCATCATTGCCAAATAGCCTCCGAGTATGATGCCAGTTGTGAAAATTTCCGCCAGCTTCCAGCTATCAGGCAAAGGAGATGGCTTCACTCTATCCTTCGATATTGTCATTATGGTACCTAGTTATCACAAAGTTTTGACAATTAATCAAAATAACTTTCTCAGTAGTTAAAAGTTCAGAAATATAAAGCTTCTCACTTTGCTCTGCAACACATCAGTAACTTTATCTTTTACGGAATTCATATTCTAACCAGAAGCTGTAATAACTAATATCTATGGCCTTGAATAAAATTGCTAATTTCACACATCTTAACGAGGAGAAATCATTTATTGGCAACTTGCAATATTTCTTTCTTAAATCTAGAGTGTAGATTCACTCAGGGACAAGACACATTGTGTATGAGATGCTAATGGTCGTCAAAAGAAAAGAAAAAAACAAACCATCGTTGAGAATGGCAATGATGAGCACCATAAAAGGTGGGAAGTCAAATTTCCATATGAGAGCCAGCAACATGAAACCTAGCTGTTGACATAACAGACAAGCAACATAGAAGATGAAAATATTTCAGATCATGATGTCATATAATACTTGAATGAATAGACTGAAAAAAATAATAATAATAATACAGAGATGGCAGGCAATTGAATGTAGCACCACCATTTACTTACCACTATACGAATAGTGATTGAAACTGCATATATCTGCCAGATACAGAAGTTCAGTAAGTATATCACATACCTCTTCCTTAATTAAAAAAAAAATGTTACTACAATACAACAACATACGCGTAAAATTTATGGAAGTGTCGTTCCAAGAAGTTGAAGAAATATCAATAATATCTTTTCAAGTGAGAATGCAGCAATCTAAATCATGAGATATGAAGTGATTATTCAAAGCACTGCTTACAGTGTAATTTTTCATCCTTTGGAAGATTGCTCGGCTGGTCAAAACAGCACTAATGATAACACTGAGACCAGGTTCCGTAAGGACTATGTCTGAAGCACTACGAGCAGCATCAGTAGCATCAGCAACAGCTATCCCTATGTCTGCTTTCTTAAGGGCTGGAGCATCATTTACTCCATCACCAGTCATCCCACAGATATGTTTCCTTGCCTGCAGGCGCTTTACAATCTCATATTTGTGCTCTGAATCAAACAGTTCCAACCAATGAATAGAATCAATACAAGCGTGAGTAATCAGTATATGTAGCAACTTCAAGAACTCTATATCTTAGAAAAGAAGGAAACACGTTTGGAGATAGAAATTATACCAGGAAAAACACCAGCAAAGCCATCAGCTTTTTCTATCAGTTCATCAACAGGTAAAGCAGCAATGGACTCATCCTTGTCCTGACCTAATAAAGCAGAAGAGGGATACATGTTGGTTCCCATCCCCAAGCGACGTCCTGTTTCCTTTCCTATCGCCAGCTGGTCGCCTAAAAAGCAAAGAGGGTCAGAAGCACATAAACTAGGGCATACTACTCCCATGGGCCATGTCCATGATGGCAAACACGAGAACAGTGAAGACATGTTTTTTGGGTTTTCCTCGTATGGAGGAGGGAATCCACATATCCATTGCCTAACAGTTATCTCATGTTCGTTCATTTCTTATTGTACTCTTCAAACCAATTAAACAAAGAGGCAACGTCTTGACACTCCATCCAAAGTAAATTCAAAGAATACAAAAAACAGGGGAAATTGGCTATTAAAAGTTTTTAGAAAAAACCTATTTGCAAGCATTGCAGGTTCAGAGATTGTGATATTTCTCAGTACTTTCTCTACAAAAACAGCTTAGCTACCAAAAAATAGATACCAGTAATCATCTTCACGTTCACTCCAAGATTTAAGGCCCTCCTTATAGTCTCCGCACTATCATGTCTTGGTGGGTCGAACAGTGGTAGAAGGCCAATAAACTGCCATGGCCCTCCAGCACTCTCTTTCCTACCATCTGGAACTTCCTGTGTACATTGACAACAAGACCAGCGCTAAAATATATGATAAAAATAATAATAATTACAAAGAACAGTCATCCATCGAGACCCTACTTGTTTTGTTGAATGTTGATCACGTTTAGAAGGTAAAACGTGGAAGTACATTACCTGGTATGCCACAGCAAGAGAACGTAAACCTCGCTCCGCAAACTTATCAATCACAGCATGAACTTTCCGCTCAATTTCCGATTTATTGTGTGCAAGGTTCAGAATCTAGGATCATAGTCAACAGAGAAACAGTTTTGGGAGTTGAGACTAATCATTTTGTTCTTTCATTTCAGGAGGAAAACACATTAATACAAGCTAAAAAGGCAAATCTATATACCTGCTCTGGTGCACCTTTGCTGACCCTATGCATTTTACCTTCATGGTCTATGTAAGTCAATGCAGTCCGCTTATCAGTAGGGTTAAAAGGAAGGAAATGTACTTCTTGGATACCAGCACGAGCCTATCGGAAGAAAGAAAATAGATAAAAAAAATTAAACTTAGACTTAGAGTTTGCATATAATATGAATACTTGCAGTTGAATCCTATTGCAGGGAAAAACAAAATATGTTCAAGCTAGTGAAACCTCTTTCGGATCAGCAAGCATCCCAACAATAGCAGTATCAATAGCATCTTGATTCTCTGTTCTTGATGCCCGGGCTGCCATTAAAACCACAGTATCCACATCCACTCCTTTAGCAAAAACCTAAAATTTTCAAGTCAGATATCCCACATTTAGAACGACTACCCAAGGGTTAGTAGGTTGAACGATAGGCATGTAATATGTATGTTAATAAGCAGAACAAAGCTACGTTTGCTTACTGACCTCAACAAGATTTTTGTCAACGGTTAGCTTGTTTAATGTCAGAGTTCCAGTCTTGTCACTGCAAAGCACATCCATACCTGCCATCTCTTCAATTGCAGTCATCCTCTTAGTGATAGCACCCTACAATTAAATTTTACAATATCTCAATCATTCATTTTCTCATAGTTGAATTACTCTAAACAGGAAATCCAGGAATCCTAGCAAACCTGCTGGGATAACCTATGGGAGCCAATAGCCATTGTTACAGAGAGGACTGTGGGCATGGCAATTGGAATTCCTCCAATCAGAAGCACGAGAAGATTATCGATTCCAGGACGATATTCCCGATCTTGAATTGGGTACATGACAATAATTTCTGTAATCATCCCCACAGCAATTGAACATATGCAGAAGTTCCCTATTGCAGTTAAAACCTACATGACAGGGAAAAGGAGGGAAATTAGGTGTGGTATGGGAGAAACGGTTCTATGAATTACCCTTCTTAAACTGTTTTCTATTGTTTGTAATTTCAGAAACTTTTTGGAAAAATATCTTCTATTATTGGGTCTTCGTTTATTCTTCTCAAAATTAATTTAAAAAAATATTCATGATGATATATGAGCAGTAAATTTAACAAAGCTAAAGAGAGAACACAAAAACAACACAATACTTTTTTGTTTTCTACTGTTTTCGTTCTGAAAAATCGTTCTTACTATCCTACCAAACAAGCTTTCAGCATTATTAAAAATATTTTTAAGAAAAAAACTGTTATTTAATTTTATGTTTCTAAACATGACTTCAAAACATACCCTTACTCGATACTTAAAATGCCCACATAGAATATAATATACCAAAGACCTTACCTTTTGGAAGTGGCCCACTTGATTAGTGGTGTCAACAAGGTGAGCAGCCTTCCCAAAGAAAGTATGCACACCAGTGGCGATGACCACTGCTTCAATTTCCCCTTGTTTGCAAGTGGAACCAGAGTATATCCCATCCCCAGGACCTTTCGTAACAGGAAGGGACTCGCCTGTAAGAGCAGACTGCAAAGTTCGAAAAATAAATTCAGAAAACTTTTGAGTTTTCGGGGAAAACAATCACATAATGACAAAATATATCTAAGAAGTCAGCAAACGTTATCTGACCTGATCAATTTTCAATGGATCCCCCTCTAGAAGACGAGCATCAGCTGGAATTATATCCCCAAGTTTGATGCTTATAACATCACCAGGAACTAAAACTGAAGCATCTTGCACACTCCACCTTCCATCTCGAAGAATCTTTTATCAACATACAGCCAAAAGAACCAAAAAAATCAGGAATATAACACCTTGTCCAAAGAGGAGGAGAAGAAGCAATCACTTGCATATCTGGTTGTACTTTCACTAAAAATAATGAAGGATTTGGCCAATTTTATTACCTTGGCTTGGGGAGCTAAACTAGCCATTAGAGCAGCGGCAGCATTACCAGCGTTGTTTTCCTCAATAAAACTGATGGTTGAGTTGATAAGCAACAGGGAGATAATACCAACAAAATCTTGCCAGTCAGGAGGCTTTCCCTGTGCAAGAATGTATTATGTAATCTTTGTACAAGAAGGACATAAGGGGACAATTCTCTAGAAATATACCAAGATGGAAGTTACTGAGAGAAATGACCATACGAACCAAAAAGCCGAGCACTTACTCCCCCATTTGCGAGTGCAATGGCCATAATAGCAGCAGCTTCCATTACCCATGAGAGGGGATTCCACATAAACCCCAAAAACTTCAAGATTTTACTTTCCTAGAAAAATATTAGGACGAGAGGCAAAACATGATTAGCACTTAATTACTAGATAACAAGACGATTAACATTAGAGGTGAGACGTTAGTTACCTTCTTCTCCTCAAGCTTGTTGTGACCAAAAATTACAAGTCGTTCCTCAGCAGCCGCTGTGGTAAGACCCTCTTTACTACATCTCAGATTATCAAAAACCTCCTCGATGGGTATGTTTTCCTGCATTCACATGATTTTGAAAGTGAGTGCAAGGGAATTTCGAATCATTCACACAGAATAACAAGCAGAGGTAAATGAATTGTTTAGAATAGATCTGTTACCAAGTCCACAGTTTCCTTCAATACAGCCTCCAAAACCTCAGGCTTCTCATCTTTGTCTCCCATTTTCCTGTCAAGTTTTAACGTGTAATCAGAATCCCTAATTTACTCTGCCCAGAAACATAAAATGGTCACCGAACACTTCAAACAACCGTATAGAAGGCAAGAAAGTGTTTCCCAGCGTTACCGAAATAGAAATAGAACAGGTAACCAAGCTAGAATAGGTTGAGAGAATTTGAAGTTGATCAACGTAGAAAGATTTGGAAGAGAAAATGAGAAGCCTACACCACCTTCCCAGAATCACAAATTCGCAGGAGCCAGAGAGTAGCTGTATATAGTGTTTAGAGTAGTAGTAGAGTGACTTAAAATACTAATCAAGCCCCCATAAATGCTCTTTATCAAAAGTCCAAAGCTTGCCAGCTTTTTAAAAGAAAAGAAAAGAGAAGAAAAGTGCCACTAATCTATCCATTCAATATAAGCCATTTTGATGTATTCACTATTTCTTTTCTTTCTATCTATCTAAGTGATATTTAACTCTATAAATCATCAAAATTATTAGAATCAAGAAAAAAATGTAACCAGTTTCACACCTAATCAAATCTGACTTAAAAGTTAAAAGTATAAATTAGTCAAACTAAAAAGAAAATCAATTTGTTTTGGCCCATTTTTGCTTGAACTCCATGATCATAAGAAAATATTCAAAAGAAATTCATTTCAAGCCATAAAAAAATTCAAAAGAAAATATTCATACCGAAACCGTCAAAAGATTTTTTATAAAAAAAATCAACAAAAAGGATCAACTTTAATCCTTAAGAAGTTCTTTATATTCAATTGCGTGCAGAGTGGAAAACACATTGATCAGCCTTCTTCCTTAAGTGGAAATAATATTAAAAAAAGTACCTAAACAAATTATCCATAATACAATTTATTAGAAATACTATTTTGGTCCATCAGTTTTGGTTCATTTTTGTTCAATTGTTTTTAAAAAGTCCAAACTTTTAGAAAATGGCTATTTTAATTCTCATTTAAAAGATTCTAACACAAATTCTATACACGAAACTCTTTAATACAAAACTATAACTATATTTCATTGAATGAATGAGATAAAAAAGAAAAATGAAAGAAACACAGGTGTCACCTTTTAAAAATACATGCATAAAATGAAAGTTTTCAAAATAAAAGAAAAATTAAATCGATAAAATTTAAAATATAAATATCAAAATAAATATTTTTATGCATAATCAAAATTAACACTATATATATATAAAAGTAAAAATATAAAATAATAATATTTGTGATACTAAAACATAAGTTGAATTAGTTGTAGTAAAAAAAATGTCGTATTAATTATAGAATGAAGATAACTTTTACACTCACAATAGAAAACAAAAATTACTATTAGTTTTTGAAAGAAAACAAAACTTGTACACTTTATTTTGTCTTTTTAATGTAGCCAAAATTTCCATTTTCCATTCACCCCCGAAGCACGAAAAGGCATATTACTCGTTCTCAAAAAGCTAAAAGATAATTTCAAAAAAACAATAATAATAAAAGATAATTTAATTTATTTAAATTCACGCAGTTGGATCAGAGGTCTAGTCTCACACGCTTGTGCACGAGTGAAACGATTAAAATATTATTCTTATAATTTACAAATAAAACGATAATAAGAGTGTAAAAAAATAAAGCAAACAATAATTAAAAAAAAATTCAAGATTATTAAGCCGAAGCCCTAAACAAGAATTCGTTGTAAAATGAGTGGGAAGAAAATACCAATCGCTGCTATCCGAGACCCACCAATGGCAGATGTTAGGTCTGCACTCTGCAGCGGCGCTAGCAAGAGGAGGGAGGGAGAGAGAGAGAGAGAGATTTCTTCCGCCTTGGTATCTCCGGTTTAAGGAATTACAATCCAAGGAAACTCGACCTTATTTCTCTGTTCTCACCGGCAAAAGATGAACAGTCGATTCGGGAACTGGACGGCGGAATAAGAGCTCCATTCAGGAATCGCTTGGATGAGAAATTAAATCCGGAGAAACACTTAGAAAGATGGAAGGAAGTGGTTTAGTGGAGCGAGAGGATGATGAATAATCGTTGTGGTTGCGGTTGCGGATGGGCGATTCGAGTTTCGTTATGGGTGTTCAGTTTATAGAGGGAATGGAGGAGAGAGAGAGCAGAAGAAAATGGAGAACGTGAGGGGTTGAGTGAGAGAGAATTTGAGGGAGAAAGAGAATGAGGGAAACAAAGAAAATATATGACCACTCTGACTTCTAAAGACTCACAGAAAGAGAAGGAAAATTATAGAGACACAGAGATGAGGAATCTCACAATCACTGTGAGAGATAGAGCAGGAGAAATTGAAGGGATTTTGCAACAAAATGTGTGTGTTTTTTTTTAAACAGAGAAATACTGCATAAATAAGAAATAAGGTCAGTAAGAATTACGTTTGACACGCATTTAAGAAAATTGTTCAAAGAATTAAAAATATAAATAATTTTTAGCCTAGAAATCATCTTTTATCTCAACCTAATTCAATGTCATTGAAGCGGACTTGTCAATTAATGGATAAATCTTACCTCTTATGACACCACCCCGTTATAGAAAAGTGTTCGAATCGATCTCCGCTGTATCTCCATCGTCGTCTTTCTTTTCTTCCATCATCCTTTGTCTCTGAACCATAATTCAAAGAAAATGAAGAGCTGTGTCAAGAGATTATATATCCAATTTTATTAAAATGTTGTAAAATTAATGATAATAATAACCATGGTATCAAGTGTCTTTTGGATTCATCTAGTCATGATATTGAATTTTCTGTTGTTTTTTTTTCTTTTATTATATATATTTTTTTTAATTTAAGTGTTATATATATTATAATTTATGGAGAAGGGTGATAGATAGGATAGAGGTAGAGCTAAAAATAATGAACCGCACATGCTTGCTTGTTTACAAGCACACCTTATCCTCATCCTTTGGGTAGCTCTTCATTCCACACGCATCTGCCTCACAATTAAAACTTTGTTTATATTTTGCAAAGTATCACCATCAACTTTAATTTGCTATATTACCCTTCACTTATTCTATAGTTGTCCTACTCAACAATTCGCTAGAAACTTTGAGTATGAAAATTCTTGGGTTGGTTGATATCATTATTGTTGGGAGTTTGACCGATGTATCGCATTTATTATAAAATGAAAATATCATAGAATCATACTTTTTTATTAAATTAAAAGTAAAATTATAAAAATTTATGTACAAAGTAGACAATATTATAGTATTGTAGAGATATATGAAACGTATGTGTTGTCCTGAACTTGACAATTATTTAATTGGTATAGTCGTGCCAACAGACAATAGACATTTGTGTCTAAGATATCGTATTATTATTAGATCAAATTTATTATTGAGAACCACGTAGTTTTTTTAATTGATAAATTATTAGATTGATATGGGTTAGAAAATAGGAATGGGTCATGCCAATTTGATGTTAGGTAATCTATTTTCATACATATTTGTGGTTGCACCTAATCCTTCAAATTCAACAACTATTTACAAATGGGATCACCTTAGATGCATGTCATTGTCACAAATATAACTTTATGAATACAAAATAAGTCTTTGACACCGTCAACTTGCTTTCCCCAAATGTTTTTCTTTCTTTCTTTTTTGTCAATACGAACATAGTTCAAGTATATAAGGGAGATGTTTCGATGCTCCATCAAATTTTTAATTTATGTGCGGATATTCGAGCAATCTGTCATCCTCTCCCAATCGACACAATATGTTCATAATGCAGTCTCATTCTCAAATCCAATAACTGTTTTTTGTTTATGTAATTTACCTGCTAGGCCAGTCTAATTAGTTCTATATATTTTGTTTGGTTTGAAAAAATCATCAATTCGCTTCTAAATTGGTGCACCCACTTAAAAGTTAAAAGGCCGAAGTAAGGGACTTATTTCTTTGGGTAGAATTAAAGAGGAAAGAGTTTTTGCTTGACAAAGTAATAGAATTTGCTATGTTATTTTGACTCTACATTATTCTAGATGGTTGAACATTTCACATAGGAAGTATGAAATTGTTTTGACGAGGGTAAAATAAAACTATGATCTTTGATTTTATAGTGACATATATTCAAATTAACGAAAATAATAAAATATAAGAAAAATTAAAGTTTCGTATTTTTTTACAAAGTCGCATGATTACAAAAATTAATACGATCAACGATCAAAATTTGAAATGCTACCAGTTAAAAGTTACAAAGTTAGGAATTTTTTTTTACTAAGATAGTTATGATATATTTTAATCAAAAGGCCGCTCTTCAATTTCCAATGCAATTTTTAGGGCTTTTTGAAAATGCCACTCACAGATCACAATCGGGGCGGTGCTACATCATTATTATACCTTCCCACCCTCCTCTGTCTCCCTCTCTCGCTTCATTTTCCTCTTCCAAAATTAAATGCCAAAAAATGGGACTCCATTTAATGCGCAGTCAAATTTCCATAACATATCTTTTTCTTATGGGTGAGCGTTCGACCACGTACTTCTATCCAATCGAATTGAAATATCATAATAATAGTAGAAATTGAGTTACTTTATATATTAAATCATAAAAAAATTACCACTTATAATCGAGGCATTTTTATCAAACACTTCAGTTCGGAAGCACGGGACAACTCACGCACCACCTTAGGGAAGGATATGGAACTCGGAGACCCATGAATCATGTCTTCTATATTCTTTAAGCATAACTTCGCTAGACTTCTTTGATCTAAATACCAATTTAAGTATCAAAGTGTTGAACACCATATTCTTCATGGTGCAAGTTCTTTATGGGATGAGGAAATTTTATTTATGCAATAATCTTTTGCTTTATATTATGTTTAATTTAAGATTACTAGTCCCTCTCTTTTTCTTTTTATTTTGTTTACAAATAAAAACGAAAAATTTATCAAAATCTTAAAATACTGAACGATAACCCATGATAAGATAAGATTAGAGTCAACTAACTGCAAACTACTCAGCAATTTTCATTTGTTGTACTAAAACTGATGTAATTAATTAATTTTTTTTTTTTTAAGTTTGGAACACCACAAAATGCTACTTAAATATCATAGTGGCACTAAATTTCTTATAATGGGTTTTTCTTTTTCCTTTTTCAAATAAATGTTGATATTACCTGTGGAGTGGAAACGGTGAGATATGAGTCACTATAGTATTTATAAAAAATAAAAATAGGTGCACCTTTTCCAATAATAAAAAATTAATAAAATAAAATAGGTGTACCTGTGGTTTGAAAAAGCGGTCAATAATTGACGACATGGACAACCAACAACACGCTTTCATATTCAACTCAAAATGGTCTTCTTACATCATATATCTAATCTATTTAATTTGAAAAACATGCCCAATTTTCAAAATTTTTAAAGTTTCAAGTAATCAAATCATATTTACACGTTAACCCTTAAATTAACCTTACATAGTTTTTATTTAGTTAAGTATACATCAAATAACATAATTAAACTATTAGTTTGACAAGTTTGAAAAGTTAATTGTATGATTTAATGATTTTTTAATAATAAGGATGAATGATTTGAATCTTTATCAACATGTACATTATAAATAATATGGTAATTCAAAGACAATGATAAGAATATGGTAGTTTTACCAGCAAATCACCTACAATATTAATACGAATTATTTTAGGAACGGCAAAAAATGAAGATTAAATTCAACTTTAAAGTTAAAGAAATGAGTAATTTAAGACTTTTTGGCCATTGAGAGAATACCCACCGGTTAAGATTTGAATTTAAACTTTTATTTTATTTATTTATTTATTTTTATACTCCTCGAAATTTTAAATTTGAAATTGTAAATCCACAATTACACTAAAAAAATATAAAATTTTGATAAAATATATTATTTTACATAACTCATTTAAGTTTTATTAAAATCAAAATACGTGTAACACAATATATTATAAATTATGTAATATCATAATGTAATATTTTTATCACTACTTTTATGATTTATATATTACAAAAACATAAAGGGAAACACTTCATATCAAACACATATTTGAAGCTGTTTTATTTAGTACAACAATTTGAAAATGTTGAATAAGATTATATTTTTCATTTAAAATTTTGGTAAAATAAAGGGAACCGAGCCGGACCCAGTGGCCACGCGGTCTCCTTTGATTTGGTGGGAGAAGGTGGTTCGGTCGGACGAGCGTGGGAAAGAGACAAATAAAAGCAGGGGATTATCACGTGTCCGTATCACAACACGTATCTTCCGTACACGGACCGTGGTACGACAGCACGCGCTCTCTGATCCTTTGTCCTTCGTTGGGGCGTCGCATGCCTTTGCCTCCGCCAATCACAACCCTCCTTCCCGCATAAATTAATCACAATTGCCATTCGGAAATGCGAACTCATGCTAATTTAAATAACATTAAAATATTATTTTAGTCCTTCTTCTTTCAACTTGCTTTTGCTTCATTTTAGTGGCAATATTTTAAGAAAATGTTCTTGATCGTTTTAAGTCTTTTAACTTTTGTTTATGTAATTTGAAAATATTCATTTTTGTCGGGACTTCATTAAAACTTAAACAGTATCAAAGAAAACCAACAAATTGTGCATCGCTTCTTGACGAAGCTAATCTGGAAAAGCAGAGGACCAATAAACAAAAGTTTATGGGCAGCCCTGTTTGCGAGACGTCTCACATGGATTAACTTGAAATTAGGGAAATTCTTTGCCAAATTTCGAATATCCTTTATCCAAACATTGGAATCAGTTTGAGTTTCAGAGCCTCCAAGAATTAGATTAACCAGATGGAAGGAATCGGACTCAAACTGCACCAACTGGAAATTCAACATCATCACCATATGGAAACCTTCGAGCAAAGCCAGGATTCGACCATCAATGGATCGTGGTAAGCTTCTACCCTTCGAGAAACAGCCGCAATAATTTGACCCCTTTCATCTCTGGCAACAACACCAATTTCAGTTCTAAACAAAGTTTCCTTACATGCAGCATCCACATTTATCTTCACCCACCCAATTGAGGGAGGAGACCAAACAGACAGGGAGTCGCTATCAGAGCTGACTTGAGGCGAATAAGTGGGAATCGATCCATGGCAAAGACTGCTACTTTCCTTGAAATCCTTCACAAATGTCAGAATCCTTTCGCATTTGCTCTTAACTTCTGGGACAAATTTGTTAAATCTAACAGCGTTCCTATCGTTCCAGATGGCCCAAGCTCCAACTCCAACCAATTCAAATTCCGCCTCAGAAAGCTACTCCATCAGATACACCAACCTACTTTGGACTGACTGATTGAAATCTCGATGAGCGACAGCTTGAGGTAACAATAAACTTCATACTTCCCTCGCTCTTTTACAATAAAAAAGAATATGATCTGTTGTTTCAACCTACTTTCCACATACTTGACATTTCGAACTCACGTCCACCCCTTTCTTCAATAAATTCCCCATCGTAGGAATACAATCACTAAAAACCCTCCAAATAAAGATCTTAATTTTGAGAGGAATTTTTAGCTTCCAACAGAATTTCCACCAGGCTTCGCTCCTTTCGTTGCTTGCAGAAGCATTCCCAAATCTTGTATTCATTGTTAGCTTATACCCACATTTAACAGAGTAAGTGTCATTCCTGTCAA